GTATATGTGTATATCCAACCACAACCGTCCGTAGTTGCAAACAAATTCTAACGGATCAAAAACTGTTTAAACGTCCGTATCAAAAAATATATTTCATTAATACGTTGGGTGATTTTTGTTTTCATTAATTATTGAATTGTTCTTAACAAAACAACTTTCCAATTGATAGAACACGTGCGTTAACTTCACTGCTGCAATAAATCCAAGACATTTCGAAGCAAAGCAATAATGCTACTGTTAAATCATGCACTGTACAATAATAAGAATAATGATATCACTATCCATACTCTATTTTGAAGCAAAATTAGTTTATGAGAAACAATGTAAATTATTCTATTAACTCGTCTGTATCTTGGCAAGGGATGGGTTCAAGGTTCCAAGCAAAAAATGTCCCGGATTATGTAACAAGTATTTAACATTAGTTTTTATTAAAAAAAAATAATATTTCATAACCCTACCCAAATTTTAATGATTGTAAGCGATTGCAGCGTTTTTAAATTATTCTTGCGTTGTACATTTTTATTTTACTATCCATAGTAGAATATTTTTATGCACACAAATCGATTTTTAAACAATAAGTTCATATTAACTATAACTCATATGTTGGGCAATGACTAAAATGCATTAAATAATCATAAAATCTGCATTTTAAAATGTCCACTCATGCATCGTAGAATTTAAAATATGTGCTGAAAAAACTACAACTTAATAATCATTGGACCATTGCTACGTAATATCAGTAATATCAAACAAGTTATAATGTATTTAATTAACTTTGTGTCACACTACGTTGAAATTTACCCGTTGACGGTTTTTATATAAATTAGTCTCTATTGTATTTATAACAAATGCATAGTCTAATGAAATAATTTTTGTTAACCTTGATTTACGAAAAATATATCAAAGTGCTTGATTTTCAATGAACTATAAAAAATTAAGTTATCCCTTTATAGATCCAAAATACGACCTTCGAGCAAGAAAATGTTTAGAAATCCATAAATATGCAATAAGCATTAATTGGTGTATTTGACCACAAACGTTGCAATGAATTGTATTTTGAATGATAAAATTAATCAAAACCGATATGCAAATGTATGAATGTCCTTGCTCTAACAGTACCAATGATTGGTTTTGATGAGCTGTGTACTATGGAAACATTTTACATGTATCTCTGTGCCAAGCTTAACACATCTTTGTTTTATAAAGCAAAAAAATCTTTATTGCATTAATAATTATTATAATATTTGTACAATTTACGTTACCCACCTACAATAAATGGTGTATTTACAAGAATATCGTGATTGTATGCTATATGAAAGGATTTATAAGACAGTTACTTAGATTTATTCGATAATCAGATACCAGCACCAGCTCTTTGAGTCGTCTGGGTAGTAAAATTCCAGGAATCGTGTTGAGTCATCTAATAAAATACTCGATTGAAATTCTATTTTTAAATAAAACCATTCGCAAAAAAATATTTTTTGTAGAATAAAAGAAATATGTTTTGCTGTTATTAAAAGAAAGTTAAAGACTAGTAGCGGTACCTTATTATTTTTAAAAAGATAGCACTCAATGAATATAAGTTTTCTATGAAATATCTGTGTCGTTTATTTGATATTATTTCCGTTAAATTATTTGATGCATGCCATTGAAATTAATTTTGAACAATAATATTAATAATATGCAAATAAGTTTCTCTGAACTTAGATAGTAATAAGATGATTGATTTTCTCTATAAGAGGAATCTTTTATTACCTAATGATTAAACAATATAATAAAATAAAACACTAACATGTTAAAAGAAAATTGATTTTCACTAATTTTATCGTGTAATATCATGATATATAACAATTAAAATAATTATTTAGAATAATTAGAATTTTATAAAAATTAAAATTTAGTAATAATTAAATATTAAAAATGTGCAACCACTTTTACCATTGTAAAACCAAAAATCATGTTATCACAGCAGTGTTAATACCGTCACAAATATTGTGCACGATCTAAAAAATATCATATATTTTATATAATGACTGATACAATATAATATTATATATATTTATGTTTCATACAAATAGATGTGGAATTAAAAGTTAACTGTTCTTTCGTTAATTTGCAACTTACTATTAGGTTATTTTTGCCAAAAAATATTTATTGATCGCATATTATAAGATAATGCAATATCAATGGAATTCATTTTATTTTTACTTCTCACTAAAAAAAACATCGGAAGTTTGCATTGAGAATTTTTAAGTTTTGTTGTAATATTTTCACTTTTCTAGCGTGATGATGTTTATTTTTCAATTTAAATACATAGGTACACAATGTACCAATACACGCACTAAATTATGATAGTAAATTTACAATAGCATTTATTAAATTAATTAGTCCAAATCCAACTCCCGGAGGAATGGGAATATTATAATATTGGCTATAATATAATACCAAATAATATGACGTGATTATTAAAAAGAAAAATTTGATAAAAACATAAAATTTTAAAAATGTATAAAAAAATCACTTATCTACAATCATAATTGTTAGTGATGTAGTTACCCACTACTGTAAGACGAATTTATGACATCCCACTGGTAGTATATATATTTTTTTGATTTTATTCAACTTCAAAATTCATACACCCAGTCATATTTGGTATTTTTTTTTTAGTCCATACAATTGTTGCGCTGCACGTTTTTGCTCAATTTATCAGCAGATCCTCTGACTTGTTCTGTAATCTTGATGCATTGTGCCCGGTCGACGGTGAATATAAAACAGGGAACGTTACAAAATAAAAACATAAATAATCTGTAACCCTTCGTGACCCTGCCAGACAAATCACAATAATAATGTTATTTTTTTTTTTGCACTAAGAATTTATTATTCATTATTGTTGTGCTTGTAATAATTTGTATTTAACAAAGTTAAATGCTAAATTACAAATTCCTATTTAGGCTTAGGTAACAATTTATGTTATACTACAGTGAAGCTATGTGACACGACAGTTTATTAATATAATATTCTAAAAGGTTGATATTTGTAAGCATTTAAAACAACTATAGATAATAAATGTTGAGTTAGTGAATGCAATTTGTGTATTTTTAATTAATTATATTATGTACAATACACAATTCAAAATAATGATAAATTATAATTATTACGTATATATTTTAAAAAAGAAAAATTTTTTACAACTATCAAATTTAATAGTCAAATAAAATGGATTTATGATATTATTTTATTTTTGGTATGACGTAAAAATTATACCTAACATTGACAAGAGTTTATTTATATGAAACAGAATGCGCTTATGATTATGAAATGCATTACTGCGAAATGGAATGATCGATTACTGTCAAATAATAATAGTAAGTATACACTTATACATGGATATTTCTATTGAAATCCATGTATTTGATAATAAATACACGAAATTAAATGTCAGGGAAATGTGTTACTGCCAAATGGATTTTGCATTTCATTGCTTAAAAATTGTTGTCATAAAATATTTTTATTCCATGCTGTAATCATTCAATCACTTGGATACCAATTAGCGAATAGGAATATGTTTTTATGGAAACATAAGCAACCTGAAGATTGTGGTATATCCAAAATAATAGTACTTACTATAGCCATTAATAATACAATATATTTTAATTCATACATTTCTTGAAACTATGGTGAACAATATAATATTAGTAACGCTTGCCAGAGTAACATAAAGAAATTATTTTCATTTACAAGTACTTAGGTACAAAATAATAGTTATAGTGTACCGATTATCTCATAGAAAATAATAGAACTATATTATAATATACTTACTACATACATGAGTGTTTTAGAAATTATTAAAATATTTTTAACAACTTTAACCTTAATTTAATAAAAAGGTACTTACATTTTTTGTACTTGTATTGATTATTGTACAGTTATGTATTATTATTGTTAAGCTTTTATCGGTAATCTTAAAGAATTTTAAAAAATTAAGTTATGCCAAGCAAACAATAATAAAATATTCGGATAAATGTTATAAATTATTCATTTAATCTTTCTTTTTTTCAATCAATTTGATTTTGATTATTTTAAATTTGTTTATATTATTAAGATTAGTATATTGTGTTGACCTAATGACCTATAACGATGTGCCTCCGTGTACTACTAAGGACCGATTTACATTTCTTATCGATCCGTGTACTTGAAGTATTTATTTATTTGAATTTTATACTAACCACATTTCCATAGGTAGATTTATTATAATTTCAGTCGTAAAAATACGAGACTGTTATTGATTTTTTATTTGAATATATTCGCTTATATACGAATTTGGTGTAATACAATTCTTCACGAAGAAGTTGATTGTATATGTGAAATTACTCTTATATAAGTTTTTAATGAAAACCATCACAATAATCATGTACAATTTAAAATATGAACCAACCTAGTATCTATATAGTTTTGAATTATATAAATAGAAGAAAACTATGAAAACTTGAGTAAAGTAATTTTTTTGTGGCAATATGCAAGAATAAACAAGTAGACTGTCAAGGATATGATATTTTTGATCAAATCGCACACGTAATAAATATGTTGACATGAATTTTTTAGTTTTTAGTTGTTTAGTGCCTACCTATAAGTAACTAATATACTTCATATTTCAAGTGTGTTATATTATATTCACCGCATGATTGCACAAGGAACAAACAACTTGTAAGACTTGCGTCCTTCAACATGTTATATTAAACGGGTCGCCATTTATCGAGCAGCACTCACGTGCAAGTTGCGGATGGATAAGTTATAAAAAAAAAAAAGTCCCAGATGTTAAATACAAATAAGCCGCAAGAGCAAATTTGCATTGTATGATAGAGCTTATAATTTTTATATTATTGTTTTATGCACATACTGCCGCATTACAGTATTTTTTTTGCTTATAATTACCATGCAATCAAACGAATCGTTTTATCATATCATTACTTGTTTGTTCAAGTGCTACAGATTGATTTACGTTCTATGGAAGGCATCATACATTGAACACATATTAGTTTATTACAATTACGAAGTATTCTGTTGTATGCCATCAAACGGTGTATTGTAAAAACTATGCAGTCTGCCAAACGAATATTGTTATTAAGCTCAACGATTTTTGTGTGTTTAAAATTAACATTTGCTTTTCACATAAATATTCCGAAACCTGATACTGTCTACATAAGCATACCATCCGATCAATACAATAATATCCAATGGCTAGAAGACCCTAAATATACGAAATCGACGTGTGGGACGTTCAGAGCTTATGATACCGAAACGTTAGAAAAAGTAAAAAAAAAAATTATATATTATTTAAATTTTAAATTTACTTAGGTGTGAAAGAATCAAGGTAGTTGACTGAAAAAAGTTTTTCTGTTCAAGGTTGTCGGTAGATGGTATACCATTTACGTATCAAATATTCCATCAACTTCGGCTTATTGTAGTCAATTTACAAGTGAGTGTCGTATAGGTACTAAAATCGTTGCTACAGACTGTAATTAATTTAATAATTGACGATATTGTATTTCAAATTAAATTACAACTGAAAAGTTATTTAGGTTTGCAAGGTAAATTTAAAAGTAAAATCTGATTTTTGATAAACACCCGTCAAAAGAGCTACGATTCAATAAATCATTCTACATTTTGAAGAACAAACGGCACTAAAAGTTGTTTTAATATTCTTATTTCCGTGTATTAACCAAGAATATATGTATAGTTACCTATATATGCATAATCTTATGAAAGTTAACTCTAGTTAAATCATATTTATTTGCTGATATATATATATGTTTAGTTGTGAAATATATGAATATTGTATTTATGTAAATTATAAAAAAATAATATTCAACTTAATTACAAATTACCGAATATTTTTTAGATGTCCAAAGACTATGCAAATGTAGTGGAATTGATTTTACAATAGCTATAAAAGATAATGCTATTTCATTTGTCATGTTTTCAACGAATACAGTGTAAGACATTTTAATATTTATATGATTTAAAATTAAATTCAGCAATATTGATTTAAAAAACTAAAACACCTAATTGTTTCAGAGAAAAGTCCGTGACTTATGAGTTGGCAACAGCTTCATTCTTCGGAAATCGACAGTTAAACATGAATCAAATAATAATACGAAGTGAGCGTTTTGAATTTTTGAATTTGAACTTAATATCACAATAATTATTCTTGACAGTCAAATGTACATGATTATAGCACTAATTTGAAAAATAAAACTTTATCTACAATATATAAGTATAAAACAAAAATGTAATGTTTTATTCTGTGCTGTCAAAAAGTTATAAGATACTATGTTGTTGTTTAGAAGGAGAATACGAAAGAACATATTTTGAATATTGAAGGGGCACTTGGAAGACTTAAAAAAGATAACAGGAGTGTGGTCGTTGTGATGATCATTTAGGGTAGTTGATGATGTAGATTGTGCGAATGTCACACATCGAGAGGGTATTTGACTGTGTGTGTAGAAGCGGAGTTATTCAGTGAGAGGTGGCTCATCAGGTAAAACCAAAGAAGGGATATATTATGCATGAGTGATTAATGTTTTGAAGTCATGGATGAGCAAGGATGGTTTGGGAAATAGTTCTATACTAATAAGTGGGAAAATGAGGTGAGGAAGCGTTTCCCATGATTTATTCATAATTTCGTTATAAAAATCATGAGCTTAGAATTAACTTCTTAGAACTGAAATTAGACTATGGTATTTTAATACTAAGATATAATTTGAAAATGGCATGGCTTTCACTAGTAGTTCACTATCAAATTCGTTACCAGTGATTTTTATGTGGTCCAGAACACAAAAAATATAGAGTAAAGAGTAAAGACTGGTTCTGCAGAGAATAATATAAGATGTGTCTGATGCTGATTATAAGAGGACTATCATGGTTTAATGATGTATAATTGTTTATTATTTTTCTTTTTATGTTTCCGTCAAACCGTTATAGCTATTTGTCTGTTCAGGTTTTGTGTTAAAATCCAACGAGAAAATGAAAGGACTAGGAGGTTGGTATTCTTTTTCTCAATTAATTGAACAATACTATAAAATTGTTTTTTATTATAGGCTTTATAATTCCAAATGGTGTTATCGTTGATTCAGATGATTTCAAGTCTTACATAATTATGATGTTCTGCAAAGAAAGTACTTTAAACATTTATATCATATATCATAATATCTATCACAGAAGTATGTATATTTGTTTTATTATAAATCATATTATTTTATTTATAGGGGCGGTAAAACCTACTGTTATGGTTCTCGTAAATGCACTTCCTATTTCTGAAGAAATCAAGAACATAACATTAAAATATTTAACAGACAATAAAATCGATATTCAGTTAGTTAAAGTCAGTCACAAAAATTGTAGGCATGGCCAAAATATTGTAGGATACAATCATGAGTTTTGAACAGTTCTACAAAATTGTGTAAAATGTTTGAGTTGTTAAATGGTTCAAACTACGTCGTGATATACACCATATTATAAAAACACTTACGGGAATAAAAAAAAAAAATATTTAATAATCATATTCTATCGGTTTGTGTTTCAATTTATTGATCGTTAAATTGTTGAGTTTAATTTACAAGCACTTAAACGCGTTTTATTTAATATGTTAAATATTTATAAAACTAATTAAAACATTTTTACTGACAGCAGGGAACACCTATCAAAATCTGTTTGTATTAAACTGATTGATTACTTACCTACATGGTAACCGTAAGCAATAAATAGGGGAAAGTAAAAAAAAAATAGACATTTAAAAGCAGTTAAAAAAATCAGACTTTTGAGCAAAAACAACGAGTGCGGTAAATACTACTTTTCTTAAAATGTTTAACACAACCTGTCCACGAAATATTAAATAATAATTACTCATTACTTGTATATATATGAAACGCCTACTCATGTGTTTATTGATTTAATCAAGTTTTCAAACATATTATATGATAATTTACCTACAACTAGTTTTTCAAATAATATATTAATACTAAAATATAAATGCTACATCTGTGTTTTTGATTATTCCAGATTTACTTGAAAACATAATATTATTTCATTTCATACCGTTTATCAGAAAAGGAATAAATTAATATTTCTTCCTTTAGATTTGAATATCATTTAAAGTTGCATTGTTAATAACTTTGTTCTTTGACAGACTTTCGCGATCAACGTCTCGGTTTTATATTTATTTTAAGTCTCCGTTATTTATTTTTTGTTCCGAAAATCCATGGTTCAGCTTCGGGTCAAATTATTATTATTATTATTATTATTATTATTATAACTGTCTGTACCAAAATCGAAGAGATTAAAACGTGTACACAGATTTGCATGTACTCGAAACCGTCATGCGAGTTTAATGGTAAATCAGCACTTTTTTTCGTGTCTACACTGAAGTTGTTTACAGCGATGTCGTGCTCACCGAAAAATGTGATTTGTTCATTAATAGTTTTTTTTTTAAAAAAAGCATACACTTTTTGCGCAGTATCATGAACCGGACAACCTCTATGGAACTTTTACGTTAGGACCGCTGTTTGGAAATAACTTTTAAAACGGAAAGCGCCAATAAACAGGTTTGGGCGAGTTTTCGTATTTTATTTATCGTATCTTTTATAACACTCCAGTCGGCATTTGTGCAGTTACTGTTCAACCGCGAACTGTCCACGGTCGTTATTTTTATCGTTTATTTCGTTTTTATTAACCGACCGTTTTGTTGTGACAATATACTATGTATATATATGCTCAGCCTATCGATCGTTATATGCCGAGTGGCGCGGTGATGGCGTGTGGTTTAATGCGAGTGTCCGTCGATGGCGACCACTGAGATCTCGGCTCGTGTCGACGATCCTTAACAACGTAAAAAAATATATATATCTCACACAACACTTGCATATTAAACGCGACAATAAACGACAACACTTAGAGTTATTGTGACGGACCGAATGCCGGAAACATGTCTTGGGCGAACGCGCATATTATTTTGCGCCAACTATAAACAGAGACATCTACTACCTATAATACTTAAATAATATAATATCGTGAAAAAAGTATACTTGCGCGACGAAGAATTTATTATTATTTTCTAGATTATTTATGGTTTACCAGTGGCGGCGGTACCGGGGGTGAATGCAAAGGAGGGTTTGGATATGTACTGGTGTGGGTGAGGCGGGATGGAGAGAGGACCGACTGCAATGGAGGTATATTATGTGCTTGCGTGCGGGAGTGTGTGTGTGTGCGTGTGTGTGTTCGTGTGAGACAGAGTGCGCGAGTGAGAGCGTATGAGACCGTGTGAGAAAGAGGGGGGAAGGGAAATTTTGAAGCGAAAAATAAGTAAGCTGTTCAATCACGATGTTATTATCGACTGGCTGGGCGTGTTGTTGGCACGTTGAATAATTCGAGGCGATCAATCATGACAGGAGATGGTTTTCCCCGGTCCATGTATACGCACACCACCTCGTCGTTTCTCAAATCTAACTTACTCTCTCTCACTCTTTCTATTGCGCACAAACCACATACCGTTTTTACCCCCCCCCCCCCCCCCACCTCTTATCCCACAATCATCACCGGTCGTTTACCACTGTGTTCATTGCTCGTTCTAATCCCTTCCCGAAATTCTTTTACACATTTCTTTGCACTTACTGGAACAAAACGTCCGGTGTTATTGTTCAATACTCCTCTCCTTTTCTGCTCGTTAAACACACTTAACTACCTAGCTACCGACAAACGTACATACTAACCTCCACTTCCACCCATCAACACACATACGCACACACTATCTCGACACCCATTATCGCTCCGTTGCGAGTAAACAATAACTTTTGCCAAAACGAAATTATCTTCAGTATTCTCCACATGTGCATTGCAGTATATATAAATGTGTGTGTGTGTGTGTGTGTGTGTGTGTGTGTGTGAGAGAGAGTACGTTAAAATTGCTCAGATCACACTTGTAGTTTAACCTTTGCGAACGTAGAAAAGTTTTGACTAGCCGGTGCAGTTGCTGCATCTCAAAGAAGCGGGTTTCGACCGCAAGTGATTCATAAATCTCTACTACGCCTGTAAATTACCATCTCTTATACTCAACGGACTAATGTAAATTATTTACGCACACGGGCACAGCACATGACACACATATACCAAGGTTCTGCATAATGAATACTCGTATGTATTATGTGAAAACTTCCAAGATATCTATGTAATGAGTGTATTTGTATAAAATACATGATAACTTGCAGCAATGGCATAGCGTCGTGTCTAGATGTATTAAAATGTAGTGTGCGGAAGGGGTGATTTACGATATGTCTTTGAGTTTGAATAAAAAAACAAAGAATTCTACCTATGTTGCATTCAAACGCCATTCATCAAATGCGATTATTGAGTAAACGTGTACTTTTACCTGCACACGCGTAACTATGATAATGATATAATATGTTGTAAACATTACCTAGTTTTCTTGGATAATTTTCTATTTGTGTTGAGTAGCCCGAACACTCTCATTTCCTCATGGCTTGTCACCATGTCATAATACGAAACCTTTTACTAAACATTTTTTTTGTGTATATACTATTCTTATATTATTTCAAACATTAAGTTATTAAAACAAAAATAAATTTGTAAGAACGCGACAAAATAGATCTCCTTAAATTAACACAAATATTGTAGGATGCCAAAGACTGTATTTAATGAAATTATTTTTAACTGAATAAGGTATTGTAAAAATGTAAATGCATAATATAATGTAATGTTATGCTAGTGGCCTGAGTGATCGAAGTAGAAACGTATAATTTCATGATTAATAAAAAAAGAAATGTGTTATTTATGCTTATAAATTTTTGTATGACTACATTTTTTTTTTAAATTTCATCTTAGAAAGTAGGTTTTTAAATTTGTAAAAATAAAAAAATATACTTTACAATTAATATCTTCCGGTTTTCAATAATTTACATAGGTACCTACTGTTATAGTTTTAGATAAGTATAGCAACACACTATAAATATTTGTTTTTAATTTATTTATAACTTATGCAGAAATCACACCAGAAAAAAAAATATTATGTAATACTAAATAAAATATGGTTTCAAAAATTAGTGTTGTGAAAATGTATAGGTAGTTAAAAAGTAATTATATATTACGACATACGGTAGTTACGTAAAATATATTTAAATCGAATTTCGAATATAAAAAATGTAAGTTAAGGTGGTTTATTCAACTAATTTTGGTCAAATTCCTAAGGGGACAGACCTTTTATATGGATTTATTTAATTGCTATTCAATAAACCATGTAAGTTAAGGTTGGAGATTTAACCACAACATATTATATTCGATTTCATGAAAATACTTAATTTCAACATTTCAAATATGTTTGACTGACGTGTTAGACCATATATTTGTGTTGATCAGAAGATTTTTAATCATTTAATAGCATATTATATTTTACAATCTTAAATCTATACATTATTAGTATATAAGGTAAATTATATGTTACATTATATTTTGTAAGTTAACTCAAATACTAATAAATAGTTAAATATATAGAGTTTTTATAATATACATACTACACATACCTAATGAATTTCAATTTTGTTTTTTTTTTTTGAGCACTCAGAAATAATTTGAATAGTAAAAATCTTTATTACAATCCTGATTAAACAGAATATTTTATTCATAACATAATACTTTACAGTTTACATAACTCATTCACTCAAGTGTTGTTCTCGATGTTATATGTTTTTCTAGTTTTCAAAAACGTAATTACTTGTTATTTGGCATGTCAACGGTAGACATAGGAAAAAGAAAAATAAAGTAATTCAATTTTCGGTTCCAATTTAAAAGTCTTTGTTTTCTCTTTTCATTGTGTACTTAACGCTAAGTAAGTTCGTTGCCGTAAAAGTGGAAAGAAGCTATTTTTGATTTGTTTCTACCCTGTCTACAGTCAAATATTTTATTAATTTTTGTTTCAAATATTTACATTTCATTACATTATTCGTTTGTTTATATACTAGGAATATAATTACATGTTCTTAAAAAAAGTTCGAAAATTATCATGTTTTTGCACGGAATTGATTACATTTTAAAATAACTTCTGAGAGTGATATTGCGGTTAATAAGCTTTGTTGCTGAAACAATTACTGTTGTAACAAATTCAAAAGAATACCAAAACCATCAAACGTCATAAACCTAACTTGTTTTAATACTTATTTTTCTTCTCCGTCGTAATTGGATATAATTATTATTTATATTTACGAGATTAATAACGATGCAATTGAAAAAAACACAGAGAGGTAGTTCGAGAAATCATTATCGGTCCAGTAAAACAATTATAAAAAAGAAAAAGGTCTGCTTATGAATAAAGTTTCACAAGAAACAAGATTTTATGTTACATGAAGTTATTTAAAGAATGAAAACAATGTTTCTTAGAATCCTTAGATCATTAAGGACATATCTTTGCTCTCTCGATATTGTACCAGTTATATTCTTTATATAATGCGTTTGTAAGTTAAATAATGATGTTATAATATAATATAATATTATATGTTTGGCTACTAAACGTCTGAACCCGAAATAAATAATATGTGTATTATATTTTTGAGCAACATTTCTCAGAAATGATATTATTAAGTTTCTGAATTCGTGTTATAAGGCATTTATTAATACGAACTAAATTCATTTCGTTTATTTATGTAAAATGAATGTTTGAATTGTTTGTATGTTTTTAAACATTTCTCGGATAACACATTATTCAAATTCTCGCCGTATAC